GCTTATCATGTATTACTGTTTAAACGGAATAAAATCGTCGAATGATTTTTACAAACCACAATAATGTTATTGTTATAGTTAAGTTGAATTTAGTCTAATCATTGTATCCAAATTTGATGGTTAAACTACATTTACAAAAACGATTATGAGAAATTTGTTTGATTTATATGCAATTTTTGGCAATATATTAAAATTGGAATATAAATTTGAAATAAACTTATTACCTACAGTTTAATGGTAGATAGAGCTACAGAGAGTTACGATTACTTCATAGCACCACCGAGAGAAGGCAACGAAGGTATGTGACTTTTTGCCCTCTAAAGCTCCATTTCCATGGAGTCTTCTTCTCTATGAAAGCTCTGGATTCTGGGTTGCTACAATCAGCTGGAAAAACCCTAATTTCTGTTTCTCTTTCTCTTCGCGCAAAAACCCTAAACCCTCGGAATTGTGATTCTGTTTAAATCTGTCCCATATGATGTTCTTACTTTCTGTGTTGATCTAGATTTGGGTTTCGATTGATTTCCGTTTTTGTTTCGAAATTGTTCATAATGAAAAATTGGTAATCGAATTCTCCTCAAACCAAAGCTTGGGTTTTTAATTTTAATTACGACGATGTCAGATTATAATCTTGCTTAAAAAGACAAGCTTTTTCTTTAACTTGTGTTGATGGATCAATGCTTTGTAATGCGCAGTGTAAAAAGTCAATCTTAGGGCAGATAACAAGAAGATAATGGTGGAAGTGTGGTGGTCACTGTTAGGAGCAGCAGTACCTGCACTAATCGCAGGTCAAGCATTGAGAATAAAGAAGAGACGTGGTGAAGAAGAGAGGATCAAGAGTGCTCGAGGAAGAGAGAAAAGCTCTGATGAAATCTTTGTCTGTGAAAGAGTTTGCACTTCTAAAAGAATGTTGAAAAAAGTTGGAGCTTTCTCTAAAGATCCGATTCCCGACACTTGTGTTACCGTCTGCGGCGTATCTGAGCTCGATGCTTGCTCTGATGCTTGTGCTCGAACCGTCTGTGTTAACCAGCATCAAGTTGCTAATTGGAATGACATTTGTCTTAGGAGATGTCAGAGTGAGTGTCTTAAGCTCTCTTCTTCTTCGCGCTCTTCTTGAAATGTTTAGAGTTTGAATCTCTATTGCTTTGTTTGAGCCTTAGTCTGTAAGCTTGGATTGGTTCCTTTTGAAATGGAAATGGTATTTGAATCTGAATCTGAATCTTTATAAGTTTATAACATTATGAGTAATCTTGGTGATGGTTACATTTCATCATGTGAGGTTTGTTTGGTAACTTTCTCAGCTGTTTTCTGAACTACTTCTCCTACAACACCTCCTGCTAGTTTTGCAGACTCTTTTATAGCTTCTTTGCTTACTTCAAGACTTCTTGTCGCTGCCTCTTTCACTTTCTCTGCTTTATCTTCTCCTTCTTTCTCGCTGTTGCTTTTGTCGCTGTTACTTCTGAAACTACCACAACAAAACAACATATTTCGAGTTAAAGAACCGGATATTGTCGAAAACCCGAGATTACAGTATATGAATGCTTGTTTGTTTACTTTAGATTTGGAGGGTAAAGCTTCATCTGGATCTTCTGCATTACACCTTGAATCAATTCCCAAGAACTCGGAGGAAATTTCTTGCCGAAAATCCCGCTTATGATCTTTACAAGCGACGGATTCTCTTCTTTCTTCGCAACACCATCATTTTCCGCTCCATCTGAATATACCGGTAAAAATCCCTCAGAGAACAAGATGATAATGAAGAAGACGAATGAGAAACCGAATCTGACTCTTCTTGATTCATTCATGTCTATACATTAGTTAAAAAGCTTCAGAGAAACAAGAATGTGGCCAAAAGGAAAT